TATTAAGTCTAAGTTCAGTAGACCTCAGTAGACCGTAGACCTACAAAACTTTGCACTAATTTGTACAATTTTGTTAGTTCACTTTTTCACTGATATATGGTATGCACTCTAAGATTTCTATTAAGTCTAAGTTCTGTAGACCTCAGTAGACCGTAGACCTACAAAACTTTGCACTAATTTGTACAATTTTTTTAGTTAACTTTTTCACGGATATATGGTATGCACTCTGAGATTTCTATTAAGTCTAAGTTCTGTAGACCTCAGTAGACCGTAGACCTACAAACCTTTTACACTAATTTGTACCATTTTAAGAGTTACTTTTAACAGGTGTTGGAAGTCATAAAATCGTTGAATGCAAGTCGAAGTGATCCAAACCGGCAAGACCCCTTCTCCTTTATACAGTCCTAATGGTTCCTCCAGTCTACTTTGATCAGTCGTGGCATTTCCTTAAGAATAGTATTAGGTCACAATATGATATGAATCGGTGTTCAAACGACGGCGACTCTTGTTCCCAATAGCCAGTTTTAATTGGAAACATAGTATTTGGATTCGACTCTATTAATTATGATGGAAAACATTACAATCAAACTGATTATATCGGTATGAAAGAATCTATTGATAAAGATTTACTTGTGTAAGATTCCAAGCAAGTTCTTGAAGTATAGGAGTATACGTTGACTGCATTGGTCAAGCAATGAAGGAAAAAGGTTGTCTCAATTAACACTGAATCAGTAACACTTTGTGTGGTGGTTTAAAGCCATTTTGCTAAATACCACCGTATAACATAGGAAAGCCTTATAACATTTTCAATGTGACAGATTTATCATTAGATTTCATTAATGAAAACGTCTATCTATTTATCTATTTAATACTGTAACTACTGATTTCAGTTTTTCTTGATCCGATAGAAAAGCCATTTAACCTCATGATCAGTATTTAGTGTGAGGTTTATACTCGGACGCGTGTTGAGAACTCACTGATCTCTTCATATTCCCCGCTCACCATCAAAATGCTTACACCATAGGGTCAATCAGCGAATTCTACTCTATGCTCAAAATTTCAAGAGTCTAGAAGGTTTACCCGAACAAGTTCTTTGATTGATTTGACAGACTCTTCCCTTTGATTTTAGTTTAGCAATTGAGGCATGAGTGGAATAAAGCCGAGAAAACTACGAACGGAACTGATTCTGCAATGCAAACGGCCTTATCCGGTGTAGCTGAATATGGTTTTATCTGTATACGTAATTCCTTTTTGAGGGTTGAAGCGGTCTGATTACTATACGTTTTGCCTACGAGACGCATACAGATATTGGCTAAACGTCTAAGACTACCACGGGTTTACCTTTAGTTGTGATAAGTCGTACTCCGGGTCTACGTATCATACGTTCGATGTGATCGAGGAAGCTGGGAGGGATGCACTTTATTTCATTTTTAGACGTCAAATTTTCAGTCTTGCCGTATACACAGAAGCCAGCAAAACTTTGGTCTTGCAATCATCTACGAAACTATCGAGGCATTACAATACACTATACACTATCAGCGAAGAAAATATTCTCTTGCTATCAGTGATACGGCTAAGAAAAAAGCTCAACTGAAGCCGAAAGGTTATAGAAGCAATCGTACCCTTTGATTGGCCTGAATCTTTTCTCGACATATATAGTATATTTGGTCAACAATTGAATACGCCACTTAGATTCAGGCCCATAAGTAAAACACAACACAACAAACCCTAAAGAATTTAGTATTCAAGGCCGAACTACTGAGCCAAACTTCACTGAATTTGATCCGTGAGTTATGGAGTTCACATTCTCCAACTTAGAACAGCCCAGAGGTTGTTTCAGGATACGWTGATAAAATTGAAGAAAAATGCCATAATAGTGATTAATTCTAAGGTATACATAGTGATCATTTTTTTCAGTAGAATTGACTCTTGAATTGACCTTCTGTTGCTGTGTGCCGCGAGTTTTTGACTGTTTTCTCGTTCGTTCGGCAAAAGCCTTGAATAAAATGAACTATATACAAACAAAAAAATACCCGTAATTATTGACTGCAGGATATAGCGAATCAAGCCGGTTAGCCAGACCATAATTAAATGAGAAAGACAAAGCCGTCTTTCTAACGTACCACCTGACTGACTGACTAAATGTGTCCTCAGCATGTGTTTTTATCAAGTAAAAAGGAGAGAGACTGGTAGCATTTGTGTCACGTGGCTGTTTGTTAATCGATAACTATGTAGATATTGGTTTACTGTGAGTCCATGTCGACTTTGAACAACAATTACACTTCTGCTCTAGAAAACAGGTAAATAGCCTATCAAATGACTGCATCTTGCTACTGAATTCCACACTACGTTAGACAAATAAGTAATCTTCACGTCTGACTTCAAATGGTTGATATCAGAGCGACTGTTGTGATCGTCTTTTATGTTTGTATTTGCTCATGTGTGATGACTTCAAGTCCGCCTGACTGACTGACGACTTTAGAGGTTTATTCAGGCTGTGATTTTACTACAGAGCTTTGATATATTCATTCTAATCCTTGACTTTTTAGTTTATTTTACCTAACAAAAGAGTTCAGTTTGAAGGTTCGTAAGACAAAGTATGGGTAGAAAATAGACCAATTTCTCCAAGTCCGATGGCAAACTACTAAAGACGGCGGAGAATAATAGTTTGGGGAGACTTGGCTGAATCAGTAATGGCACGGCTGAATAGCTCGACCTGCTGCTTCAAGATCATTTTAAACATTTTCTTTAGTTTACTACAGGACCTTTCAATCCTTTAAAGCGTTGGTGTTAATTCTACAGTCCTCTTTACCATGAGTGTCGTTTTCCTGAGACAACTTCACTATGACTCAGCAACGTCAGTAGAGAATCGAAACTGGTTGCTATTCAATACCTGACTGATTTATTGTGTTGAGAATATCTTCAAGATTAAGAGCACTCTCTTTTAGTCTTTTAGCATCAGGGAAAACAATTTTAGATTCTTTTCGTCATCATTTTTCTCCTTTTTCCAATGTTTCATGTTTATTAACAAGTTTTGAATCGTAGCTATAGTCTCATTTTTCCGATGCATTGGTGATAAGCGAAGAATCAGTGTTCTTTTCCACGAATTTCCTAGCCGAACGGCACGGCTTCACGTATAAAAATATAAATCCTAGTATTCCTATATGCTTTTCTGTAAGTATACATGCAATGATTTGTTTGTCCTTTTTTTTTCCTTCTGTTGTTCTGTAGTTTCGATCATCAAAAATACTCAAACGGTTAAGACTTGATTTGTACTGAATCAGCCGTCGCTACTCAGTACTCCGCTTGAGAAATCGGGCCAACTTCATTAGTACATCGCTGTCATCGATTTTTTGTGCCAAATTTAAGATTCGCCAGTGCTTAAGGATTCTAGAAGACCGTATTACTTTAGTCGATCGGTTTTGAGGTCGAAGGTACTCTTACTGAGTCGTTGCAATTGCAGCCTTTCTGATAGTCAACGCCGAAGAACGCAAGGCCTTTGTACACTCTGTGACACTGTTCTCTCGGTAATAACCTTATAGTCTTGAAAGCCAATTTTCATTCCTAATTCCGAGAAAAAAATAGATAAATAAATACTAAGTTTTCACCTCTCTTTCTTTTAAGTTTCGACTTCATTTCGGCATCAAAAAAGCATTAAGTACAACACGGCTGTTTTGAACGATGTTTTTTGGTAGAAAATCCGGCGAGTTCTGAATTAGGAACGCTACATTGACGGCTCATTAGTTCACGAAAACTTAAAACGTTTCTTGCAGCAAGGTAGTATATRATAGATAAAAAAAAGTCCATACCTCGGTCATTTTTTAAGACTATCATTTAGTTATGTCACAATCCCTCCAAATAGTTCGGCAACTGGAGTTTTCAGTACTGAAATCCGGCGCTAAATCAGTCGAATTTAGTAGTCAAGTCAAGTCCAAACCCTTGGATGGCAGATTTTAGTCAGTTAACTCGACTTCAATTTTGACCTTATTTTTTTCCAACAAGAAAGAAAGCTTCAGTCTAAGAACTGCTCCATTTGGTCTTTATTTTTTCCCTACTTATTTAAGCTTCCAATTTATTTTCAAAGGTATTTAAATTAACTCGAGTTTCTGCCATTTTTAAGCATCGCTTTTGTAACATTGATATTTTCAGCTAAAAATCTACGGCCAATGCAAGAAATAAGAATTTGAACCCTACAATATTTTTACGAGTTGAGGACTAAGAATACAAACGCTGTAGGTCGTTCAGGACGTTCATTTGAACCGAAATATTATTTTGGTTATATTTCCTATTTACTATATTCATCGAAAATATGATTTGCTTCTTGGATAACATGATAGTATAAAATGAATCGCTTTGTCGACGATTCGAATATGCTTTTTTCGCCAAATACTATGGCAGACTGAAGCTTGCTATTAATAGAATCTTATTTCGTCACGCATCATCTTACGTATTGTACATTGTTTTAAATTACAGCTTGAGAACGTAAGTACTACATTCAACCGAAGATGCTTCGCTCGATGAAGCTAAAGTCTCTGAACCCTCACATCACTTGTGTACTGTGTGGAGGATATCTCGTGGATGCTACTACCATCATTGAGTGTTTACACTCCTGTAAGTCTAGATAAATGTACTTTCACTTTAAGGTAGATTCAGTTTTACGAGCTATTTATGCTAATACTCAACGAAATCAATTATTCACAAGACTAGAAACCAGAATGGCAACTGAGAATTATCATGATCAATCTATATGTAGCAAGCTTTTGATTTCTAGATTACGAATTCTCAGTAAAACCAAATAGAAAACAGAAAGATTCACTCGAAACTAAGTACTCAGTAAGTCATAGGGCTTATAGACAATAACGTTTCCTTAAAAGGATTCCTAATTTTTTTATCTTTTTTTTTTTTTTTTCCCGACACTGATACTTAGTCTGCCGGAGCTGTATCGTTCGTTACCTGGAAACCAGTTTTCATTGTCCCGTATGTGACGTAGAAATTCACAAGACCAGGCCATTGCTTCACATCAAGTACGATTATCCGTTTGTATATCATGACATGTATGGGGGGGACTTATATTTTACGACCTTCACTCCTCGTAAGAGGCTCTTCCTTGAGGTTTGCTCCACACGGCCTACCACTAAATCCACTATTTCAGTATAACACACAACACTCCAATTACAGTGTAAAGATTTAGCACGGGCACTGAAGATGGTCGTCACCAGCGTCTTCAGTGGAAATATTGTCTAAGTTTTCTTGTAGCTGAGCGACAATCGAAAAGACTGGAAATTTTGAGCCATTGGAAACTGACAAATTAAAAAACACAAAAATCAATGGACTGTTCTCCTAGTACTGATTACAGCTGCTAATCAATCTTAGTCAATTTTAGAAACTTCATTCGTTAAATCAAATCGAGTCAAAATATTGTCTATATTTTCACCCAAGGTTGTCATTTTCATTTAACACAGGCCTGACCGAGTACTGCAAGACATCGTGTATAAACTTGTACCAGGACTTTGTCACGGTGAGCTGCTCGATCGATCGTGTTCTCAGTTTTAGCGAATGAAATCGTTTGAAACTGTTTTTGCACAATTTAGGCTGATCAGCTAACTCACAGATCGATCCCT